AGTCACTAAGAGTGTGATAAATGAAAGGGGGCGGCGGGGAAGAACCCTTTTATGGACACCCAGCCAGTTAGCTATAAAATCTCTCAGTAGTTGTTCTCTACTTGCTTTACCTGTTAAGGGTTAAAAAGTCTCCCGGCATAGGTAAAAGGAAGGGAGTGGGCACCTGACCAGAAAAGCCAATGGGAAGGTTAGAACTTTTTAAAATCGGGGGGGAACTTCCCCTTTGTCTATCTATGTTGTTCTCCTGAAGAGCAGAGACAGAGCTGAAACTATGCTGTAAAAAGCTTTGGGCCAGGTATGAAAAACCATCAGATCATACCTAGAAACTACTCATTTGAAACCCCAGATATTTAAGTAGATCAGGAAATGTCTAGGAAAATGCGATGAAATTTATCTCTTATTTCTTTATGGCTTGTGGACTCCTCTGTGCTAACCCCCAAATGCTTTTGTTTTGCTTGTAACCATTAAGCTGGACCTCAAGAGAGCTATCTTGATGCTTAATCCTTGTAATTGTTTTTTTTTAATCTAGCAAAAAGCCTAAATTCCAAATGTATTTTCTTTCTTTTTGTTTTTAATAAAATTTACCTTTCTTAAGAACAGGATTTGATTTTTGAGTCCTAATAGGCTTGTGCCTATGTTGTTTAATTAGCTGGTGGCAACAGCGGATTTCCTTTTTTTCCTTTCTCAGCTCTTCCCGGAGTAGGGGGTGAAAGGGCTTGAGGGTACCCCACAGGAAGAAATTCCCAAATGCACCTTCCTGGGTTCTCAAAGGGGTTTTTTTTGCACTTGGGTGGTGGCAGCATCTACCAATCCAAGGTCAGAAGAAAGCTGTAACCTTGGGAGTTTAATACAAGCCTGGAGTGGCAAGTATTAATTTTTAGAATCCTTGCGGGCCCCCACCTTCTCCACTCGAAGTGCCAGAGTGGGGAACCAGCCTTGACAAGGAGGTTCTCATCTGACTCTTATTGTAAATTGATCCAGCCAAGTCTGTCTGATCCATGAACCATTGCAAAACCTTTGAGTTATTTTTAAACCCTGATTTGCAAGTTTGTTGTTTTCTTAAATTAAGACTTTAAGACATTTTAAAAACACTTGATCATAGACGCCAAATAGCTCCAGAGCTAGTAAATGGAATTCAAAATGAGCTGTTAAAGTGAACCGTATCTGTATTTTCTTTTTTCCAACTCTTTTGTGTTTAAATTCCTTGCCATGATGTTACATTTTCAACTGAATTTCTGTTAACAAAAAAGTTGATTCCTGTGGATATGTACTCTATGATCAAACATTCAAATAAAGTCAGCCTGATTGTGTCATTTCACCATGAAACCATCAATTATACATTCAAATAAATTAGTTTCTTAGGCCAGGTGATATAATCACAACCCACTCAGAAAAATCAAAGTTACTTCAAGGGGATGTGTGCTTGACTCCCAAAAAATGAGTGCCCACATAGCGACTTGGGGACTGTAAAAATCCAGGGGTTTGACAGCTTGCAATGAGTAAAATGACACACACAGGTCTGGGTTAGGGTATAACTGAAGACATTTGGAAGATGAGGAAGTGGGATTTTGTCACAGGAGAGCATTTATATGAATGTTTTGTATAAGCAAAGCATTGAGAAAGTATTCATTCCCTTTTTTAGGCCTTTCATACCCCATAGTGTTAGCAGTAGCTTTCCTCCCACTGACTACTAGATGATTGAAGGCAAAGCAGATTTTTTGTCCTGGCTGGTGTTTAAGACTGTATACTGAGTCTCTTTCAAAGATATAAAATATTAAATTTCTTTTAAAGCAAAATACTTAATCATGTTATAAAGTAAATATTTGTAATGGAGCCTTTAATTATTGGCAACAAGTGAAGTGACACCTTAAATCAGTGGTTCTTAACCTGGGGTGCATGCACCCCCTGGGGGTGCGAGATGCCTTTTCTGGGGGTACGAGACATGCCAGATCTTTTTTAGAAGGTAAATCATCGAAAACACAAATTAAGCACAGGAACATAAGTACAACTACTTTGTTTCATCAAACCTATGTATTTATTAACATTATACATTTTAACAATTACTCTAATATTACTGTACAACTACTGTAATATACAAAAAAATAATCTAGGTTTAAGGAGTGTGAGAACATATTTTGATTTTTGATAAGGGGTGCGAGAACATATTTTGAGAACCAAAGGGGTGCAGGCTGCAGTAAAGGTTAAAAACCGCTGCCTTAAATTCTACTACTCCTCAGATAAAATTCTCTGTGGGAGGGTCAGTTTGAGGGACTTCAAAGTTCAAGGAAGAAAATTATCAGAAAGTTTCTCCTTTTTGATTTTTGAACCTTAAGATTGTGAGATAAGAAGACCAAAAAGGGAAAGACTGTCTCTGTACTGAAAATGCTTCCTGTGGTAGCAGAATGGCAGATACTTGCAATGTTGAAGGGTTTTTGATTAGAGGCAGTCCAGAGGCAGGGTCCCGCAATTGTAAACTAAGATCTGCATACTGAACTTTCATTGTCCAATCATTAGTGAGGCAGAATCAGTTTGTCTGGTCAAGCCATGACAGTTGTCAAGAAGCAGGATGCTTCCTGTCCACAAGGTAAAACCTTCTCTATCGATAAAATGTGTGTTTAACTAGGAGAAGGGAATCTGCATCCACGTCAGGCTTGTACGCTGACAGGAAATAAAACCTGGAGTACTGGTTGGCCTTCTAACCTACTGAGGAGCTCCAGTTCCACTGGCCCTGAAAGCAGGGAGCCTGTCTCTACTGTGCTCTCAATAAGTCTTCTCTGCTGGGCCCAGGTAGTGTGGATGAGGAAACTGACGGTTTGAATTCAAAGTGAACAAGAGACCAGGGTGGGAGGCTATGGACGACAACTCCATTCATTATTCTTTGAGAAAATGAATAGCCAGGAACAAGGAAAGGCTGTAGCAACGGGAAGTATTCACAGACCACATATACAAGTACTAAGAGCTTGAACACCACCCACTTATGTCGGTATAACTTGCATGGCTTAGGGGGTGTGAATAAGCCAGCCCCTGGAGTGCCATAAACTACACTGACCTAAGTGCCAGTGTTGACAGCACTATGTCAGCAGGAGAGCTTCTCACAGAAGGGGTTTTATTATGCTGACAGGAGAGCTCTCTTCTATCAGCATGAGCATCTTCACCAGATGCACTACAGCAGCACAGCGTCATCAGTTCAGCTGTGCCGCTGTACCGCTTCTAGTGAAGACTAGCCCTAAGACTACCGAGGATGTAGAATATCAGCCACAGACATAAAAGGATGAATGAACAATTCTGTGGGGTAGAATGACACTCCACACTACTAGAGATACTAAGGGTTGGTTACAACTATTCTAATACAATAGCCTATGAAGACAGAAAATAAATTTGGTAGAGAGAACAAAAAGATTATCTTAATGTAATCAGGAAAAACCAAAGGTATGGCAAAGTAGCTTTTGAATAATGGACATTAAAAAGGGAACATTCTTTGGTTGAGTTTAAAACAAAAATCTATTGACACATTTTGTTTTAGCTGACATGTCCACAGATTCTCAGTAATACTTCCTAATGAACTGACTGAAACTGAGTAGTAAAGGATGGCTGTATCTATATTACTGCTAGGTTGCCAAAAATTACAAGTTATTGCAATTTTATACTCTTCCACCACTGTACCAAACAAACTACTGCAGCACTATTCTTCTCTGAAGTTCCAAGATTAGGACCACAAGACTCTTGGTTCAAAGGCTACGAACAAGACATTAATGAATAGAGAACAGGATGTTGGGCATATCTATCTCTAGTGGCAGGTATAGAATCATAGAATATCAGGGTTGGAAGGGACCTCAGGAGGTCATCTAGTCCAACCCCCTGCTCAAAGGAGGACCAATTCCCAACTAAATCAGCCCAAACAGGGCTTTGTCAAGCCTGACCTTAAAAACCTCTAAGGAAGGAGATTCCACCATCTCTCTAGGTAACCCATTCCAGTGCTTCACCACCCTAGTGAAAAAGTTTTTCCTAATATCCAACCTAACGCCCCCCGCTCCCTCCCCCCCCCCCCCCGCCAACTTGAGACCATTACTCCTTATTCTGTCATCTGGTACCACTGAGAACAGTCTAGATCCATCCTCTTTGGAACTCCCTTTTAGGTAGTTGAAAGCAGCTATCAAATCCCTCCTCATTCTTCTCTTCTGCAGACTAAACAATCCCCGTTCCCTCAGCCTCTCCTCATAAGTCATGTGCTCCAGCCCCCTAATCATTTTTGTTGCCCTCCACTGGACTCTTTCCAATTTTTTCACATCCTTCTTTGTAGTGTGGGTCCCAAAACTGGACACAGTACTCCAGAGGAGGCCTCACCAATGTCGAATAGAGGGGAATGATCACATCCCTCAATCTGCTGGCAATGCCCCTACTTATACAGCCCAAAATGCCATTAGCCTTCTTGGCAACAAGGGCTCACTGTTGACTCATATCCAGCTTCTCGTCCACTGTAACCCCTAGGTCCTTTTCTGCAGAACTGCTGCCTAGCCATTCAGTCCCTCGTCTGTAACAGTGAATGGGATTCTTCCGTCCTAAATGCAAGTGCAGTATGTTGGTGAATAGGACAGTACCAAATCAGCCCAAGGACAACTGTCCCCCAAACCAGAGGAGTGACTTCACATGCAAGATTGAGACAAACAGGTGGCTCCTATGTTACTTCAGACAACAGACAACTTACCTGCTTTGGTGGAGAATGCTATGGAGAGCACCAACTCCAGTAAAGTCTGACAAAATGCTGGCTTAGTTGGTTAAAAAATGGCAAAATAATAAAAGAACTATTAAGAGATGGTTACATCTCTTACTCAGGTCCTGTGATTAAATACTGGCCCAAAAATCAAGTCATGGTATTTACAGCAGAGGGAGTAAGGCCCTACTGTTGACAAATATTTCAAATGTTTAATCAACTTCACTTCACTTTAGACAGGTTCACAATATGCAAAGATTATAATATTTTTAGAAACTAAGTCCCTTACCTTTTATATCTGCTTGAAACTGTCCTAGAGGATTCCTACAAGAAATTGAAAAAACAAAAGGAAAATATAATTTCATGCTTTTCATTAAATACACTAATGCTTTTATGAACACTCAACCATCTCATATACAAGCAATTTACAAATAATTAAAAATTAGACTTGCAATTTCAGATCAACATAAACATCTAGCTTTTACATTATCCTGTCTATGACCTACTAGTCCAAAAGTAGCAGGTAGTAACTATAGAGTGGGATGGGATAGGAGATAGGTGGGGAGAAGAAGAAAGGGCCCTACAGCAGAGGTAGAGCCAAAATTCTGATGAGAAATCCAGATCGCTGCCTCATCCATGTGCTGCAAAATCCAGATCCCTGCCCTACTCAGATGTTAAGGGGCAGGGTCCGAGATTTCTATAAGGACATGCTTTCTACATTCCAACTGGAAGTTTTTCATTTCAGCCTTTAGTTAGTAGGAGTCACATAAATTTGAAGACCCTTCCAGAATGTTCTGGCTACCGAAAGTGTAGGTAGATGTCTCTCCATTATTCTACCCTTCCTTATCAAAACACCAATGTCTGTTTCTACTGTTGCTCCTTGGTTTGTTAAAGGACAGCTGAGTGAAACTGCTACGATTCTTTAGGGCCACTGCTGAACGACAAAAGTAAAACTGTCCAGTGTTTTAATTTCACTATGTAACTGCTGAGCAGCAACACTGAAGTATTCTGTCTGCAGACTCAGTAAGACAGTATTGTGTTCATTTGCATTCAGTTAATTTTGCAAACATGATCTTCACATATTTCTAGACAGTAGTTCAAATGTTGCAAAATGTATGTTTGAACTTCGAACTTGACAGAATCAGCTTTGTACTCATCACTGGTTCGTGGATTTATTTTACTTTTTAAAAAAAAAATCTACTTTTCTGAATACAAGCCATGAACATATTTGCTTTTTTCACCGCTGCTATGCAATGGATGCAGGTTTTTACTAAGTGGTCTACAACGTTGCCTAGGCCTGTTTTTCTTTAGAGTTACAGTTAAATTTAGAACTTGTCAATATAACAGCTTTCTATATCTCAAGCAGTCCAGGATTCAGTTTGCGTTTACTTATCAATTTTTTCAATTAACGGAGTTTCATTTTTCTTTAATGTTCATAGCATTCAGCTTAGAACCTTTATTTTTTATGACCTTGAAACCGTACCGCTTGCAACCACACACTTCACATTGGCTATTTTTAACTAATATTTTGGTCCATCAACCACAGCTGGGAAACCTCCAGCACAGAGATGCATCCTCTGGGAGGTGAATGGGTGTAGCCAACTTGGTGAAACCTAGAAGATTGCAATGAATATTACAGAATAAGGTGCTGTGAACCAACAGTATGTAGGAGAAGGATGGCCAAACCAAAAATCCCAGACTGATCACATTATGATTAAAAGGCACGGATGCCACTTCTATGGACTAATATCCAACAGTGACCAAGTAGGACAGTAATAATGAACTTCTAGCAGGAAAAATTAAGTTTAAGTGGAAGAAAAAGATGGTGCAACTGGAGCCAAATTTGATTTTGATAAGTTGAAGGATCGCTCTGTGAGGGAGGAATACAAGGTAGCGCTTGCCGGGCATTTCAGGCTATTAATTTGCGATGAGGAAGAAATCTCACTACAGACTGGATGGAAAATATTCAAGGATGCAATACAAAACAGCAAAGGAAGTTACTGGAATGCATAAGCAAACAAAAGCTGTACAAACAAGGAAACAAGAATATTACAGGAAAGGTGTAAACAAGCTAAGAATGCTGGGAAAGTGAAAGTAGTAAAAGCATTATGCAAAGTGGAGAAGTCAAAGGTTGGACAAGCAAAAGTTTTGGAAAGAAGATGCTCAAGAACTAGAGAAGGCATCAAGAAAACAAGGTGTAGACAATATACAAAAAGGTAAAATTATGTGAAAACTCAATCAAGTCAATGATGCAAGTGGTGAAGAAGGCTGCCAGTGAATGGACGACAAATGCCAAAGACTTGCTGGAAACCCGGAAGGAACATTTTGACAAAATGCTGAACCCTGCATTTCACCCAGAAGCAAGCATTCTAGACATGCAAGATGAACCGGGCAGCTTGCAAGGCAGAATGGATATCAGCTCTGAACCACCATCAGATAAAGAAAGAGCAGTGAAGCAGTTAAATGGGAAAGCTACAGGAATAGACAACATAACAGCTGAACTGCTAAAAGCCAGTGCAACAAGTGTTATCAAAGCATAAGGAAAAAAAAAAAAAAAACAAGGGGATATCTGAGCAAGAGGAGCTATTAGACAACTGGCTAACAGCAATAGCTGTACTAATCTTGAAGAAAGGAGATTCTGCCAATTCAAATAATTAGAGATGTATAATGCAGAAGAAAAACAGATGACATGGTGGCAAAGAAAATAACATAAGCACAACCAAGATCAGTTTGTCCTAGAGGCTGACCACTGGCTAAATGGCAGGATATTGTACACAGGGACACGAGCAGGCGGGGCTTAACAGAGGAACAAATCATGGACAGAAATGAATGGTGCTGCTGTACTGCTCCCCGTGTCTTCAAAGATGCTCTGGGATTAAAGCAAGACAGGTAGCTTATTGAATAACTATTCAGTGTTGCATTCTTTTTCTGTAATAATAAAGAAACTGAGCTACCCTGAATCATTTCCCCAGTTGTATTGGGTTTTGGGGGTTTTTTGGTAGAAAGATGTGCACTGAAACAGCAGAAATGAATATAGCATTTTGTACCCTGCTGATGGATCTTGGCCAAAAAATGACCATGCAATTATTTTTATTATTATTATGCCAACTGGTAGGAGTATCCTATGATTACCCACTTAAAGATGTTGAAAAACAAATTTACAACTTTTGTGTGTGCATTCAGAGAGTTTTACAGCTACCTGTTTCTCTTCAGGCTCTGTGTGGTTTTCCCTCCTCTCCCCATCCCCAATGTGAGTAAGTGAAGCTCCAGTGGAAGCAGAATTCACCATTTCTCTTTATTATTAAAAAAAATCATTTATCACTTTTCTATTCTGGCATTGTAGATAGGAAAATGGAAGACAAGCAGAGAGTCAAGAGGACTTTTTTTTTCTGTTACAGTACTTGTGATAAAATACACTATGTATATTAAGAAATAAAAATACTATATGCAAGGATACAATCACGTCAATACCTAGTGGCCATTCAAGATCAGAGGTTTAGAGGGGATCTACATGGAAAGGTAGGACATGTTCAATCTAGTGAAAAGATGGTTGAGGTTAGACACGGCAAGTCTACAAATATTTAATGAGATGTTCTAAAAAGAAGAGGAATCAATTATTCTTTTGATCGAAGACCAAGCTGGTTGCAACAATAAAGAAAAATAGTTAAAAATTCAGGAAACACTTTAAGAAAAGTTAAGCAAGGGAAAAGGTGCCTAATGAGGCTGAACAGTCATTATCACGGATTATAGTAAAGAATGTAACAAGACACCCATCGATTAATGATAATGATCTAAAGGTCTAAGTTCATCAATGAAGCGAAAGGTAAGAGATATTTTAGTTTCCGCTCTTGTAAAGGTCTCTCTAAGCCCTTTGCATCCTGGGTGTTAAGGGTGTAATGTCTTACATGTAGATAACAGTACAAAAGTAAATTAGCCAGCGATGATAAAGAAAATTATGATCTCCTTATGGAAAGATGCAAGCTAACTATTTTAACCTGACATCAAGTGTTAGCTATTTTACAATTCACAATGGCTAGAAGTGGGACTTTTATACCATTGGAAAACTAGTCTTTGACAGCTTTCAAAGAGGAAACAGTCACTTCTAGCTCTGGATGGCCAAGGAAATAGAACTTTAAAATTGTTACATTAAGTTTACAAAGATTTATTCACTTAGATTCTCCCTTCCTCACCCACTCCCTGAACCAGTGAACTCACAGTGGTGAAGAGTATGGCTTTATAAAAGTGGAAGGATGCAAGAAACAGTACCAATTTATTACATTACAATATGGTGTTGTATAAAGTTTCACCCCTCATAAGTTAATGCAGCCATCCTATGCTCCTGCCCCACCCCAAAAAAACAAAACAAAAACTTTTGTCCCAAACAGCATCACGTACTTCTTTAAGCTATTTGTGTTATTTGTAAAGCAACAACAATACGCTTAAAAACTTTAATAAAACAAAAATAGAGAAAGTAATTTGCCACAAAAAAGTTTGTGATCTACAAGAAAAACAGAAGACAGGATTAACTGGAAATCCCACAGGAAGGGGCTAACTTGTACAAAGTTTATTATTACAGCTCACTGCTTGTGCGCCTAAATATATGATCAAGTCCCTTCCCCCCTGAACTTTCCTCAAGATCTTATTTTTTCATGCCCTAGTTACATCATTACACTGAGTTATTTTATATATATATATATATAAAATTATTTATATTTATATATATATATATATAAAATTATTATTATAATTATTCTTGCATTATATTTGTTTATTGATCACTAATAATACCACACAACAGGGGCAATAACAAGAGTTAAGAGAGTCAAAATAGGCTGAAGTGAGGGAGAAGACTTCAATTCTTCTATACATTTCAGCAAGCTTTGTTCCACTTAGGTAGCTCCAAGCTGCCATAAACCCAGCAATAGTGGTCACTGGAAAATTCCACAAGCACAGCAGAATCGTCAGGTGCCACAGAGTAGAGATCATTCTAAGCCCTTTTCCTCCATACTCCAGAACAACATTTGATCACCAAATGATATTTCATTGAATAAAGCTTTTTTTTTTTAATTAAAGAAAAATTTAATCTTTTTAATCACTTCCTCACAGTAACAAAAGGTACAGATTCATATCACATACAAGAGGCAACTCCCTCTGGAACCAAGGTCTGCACTGTCAGCACTCTGAGTTCAAGAATTACTATCCTTCCTTGTTCTCCTCTCCTTGATCTCCATTCTTCACTTCTATTAGCCTAGTGACAGAAGAGTTAATGTGAACATGTATCTAATATTTGGCAATTCCACAGAATGCCACTCTGTCCCCTCTTC